GGGGGGAGGGAGGGAGTATTATGGGCTGTGGGAGCCGCCGCGGCTGCTGCTGCTGAGCAAGATGGAGCTGTCTGCAGTGGGGGAGCGGGTCTTCGCGGCCGAGTCCATCATCAAGCGGCGGATCCGCAAGGTGAGCCGGGGCGCGGTGAGGCCGCTGCGGCGCTCGCCCCTCGCCCGCCCGCCTCCAACCTCCCTCCTCTCCTGTCTCCGCAGGGGCGCATCGAGTACCTGGTGAAATGGAAAGGCTGGGCCATCAAGTGAGTGATCGCCGGCTCCTGCTCCCCCGGCCCCCTTGGAGCAGGGCTAGCCTTGATACCCCCCTCCCCCGCCAATGTTGCCCCAGGGTTGCATTTTTTTTTTTAATCCTCTGTGTTAATCTGTGCGTGTGCACATGTGTTTCCCTCTCTCTTTGCCCCCCCCCTTCCCTCCCGGCAGGTACAGCACTTGGGAACCCGAAGAGAACATCCTGGACTCCCGGCTTATAGCAGCATTTGAGCAAAAGTGAGTTGAAGCAGCCTCTAGGGAAGGGAGCAGTCTTGGCCAGTGGGGTAGGAAGCAGTGTGGCGGGAGGTTTACCTAGTTGGGAAGGAAGGAGGGAGGTGGTATCCGAACTAAAAAAAGGCCCTGTGACTTTTATGTATTGATCTATTTATTTTAATTCCCCCCCCTGCTTCTGGGGAAAAACTTTTGATGTCTCAATATTTGGCTCCCTAAAGGGAACGGGAGCGGGAGCTGTATGGGCCCAAGAAGAGAGGACCCAAGCCTAAAACTTTCCTGCTGAAGGTAACTATATTTAAATAACTTAGGCCCGCTTAGACGCATTCAAAAATCTCACTGCCTCTGGGCCGTAACTCTTAAATGCCTTCTGGGTGCCTAACTCTAGGGCCCCCAGTGCAATGCAGTAAAAGGTGGGGGAGAGGGGGTGTGAATATGATGTGTTGGGAGGGAACGTGAATGCAGATATGTCCTGGGAGTATGAATCTTTTTGGCTAGTCTTCTCCCCCTCTCTTCCTCGGGCTGATGAGGATTGGTCCTCCCTGCTCCCTATGGCTGGGCTCTCAGTCTTTCAGCCCTTTGCATGTCTGTGAAAACCTAGCAGTGCGTTTTAGCAGTCACAGGAATTTCTGTTTTAAACGTATGGCTGGGGTCCTGCTGCTGCCTCTGCTGAAACATGCCTGTGGTTTAGGCAGCTCTGGGTGCCATAGTTACCTACAGGGTTCACTGCTTGTTCTGAAAATCCCAGAACGGTCCCACCTTCTAATGGGATGACAGCTAAAGTCTCTAGTTCCTTCCCCCTGGCAGTGGTATTGTAATAACAGCTTCATGCACAGATGTGGGTTTTATGTAACTGGGCAGATTAAAAAGGCAAAGGAAACCCCTTCCTTTCCCATGTTTTGGCAGTGACTCAAGTTAGAGAATTCTCCTGTGAACTGCTGCTATCAGCCATGTTTTGCTTGACGCACATTGCAATGCTTCCCCCTCCACCCTCCAACTCCAATCCTGTATGGCAAGGGAGGGCCAGGAGCATTTCACTGAGTGGCAGGTACAGTTCAGGGAATGACCACGGGCATCAGGAATTCCTTAGTCTGGATCTTAAGAGGTGCCCAGAAACTTTGGGGCTGGTCACTTTAACAGTGCATCCACTAATCCTTTCTCAAACAGTGGTTCTGGCCAAGCCTTTTAAAACCTTGGGTCTGTCTCCCTCTCTGTAAAACAGGGTTAATAATTTCTTTCCCTGCCTCTTCAGGTTGCTGAGGGGCTTCCTTAGCTACTGTTTGTATAAGGCTTTGCAGGTGTGAGCTGCCAAGTCTGAACATTCAAAATGATTCTCCAGAAGAATTGCTCCCCTCCTACCTGTTTGGGAGGGCCATAGAAATGTTTGAAAATTTGGGTCTTCTGGGATGCTCTGGTTTAAAACAAGAATGGGAAGCTCAGTTAAGATGATATGTTGGCAATCAAAATCTGTCCGCTCCCACCAGCCTTACCTATATTGTTGCTAACCCATTATTACAGACAGCAAATAGAAAAAGCCTGTTCTCTGTTCTCCACCGCACTGACGTGCGTTATTGTTTACTTGGTGAAACTGAACTAGTTTGGTTTCTTTCTCTGATTCTCCTATGAATTAGAGGCTTCCCTTGTTTCATTTTTCCAATAATGGAAAGTTTAAGGGGATGCTGTTACCTTAAAAATAGCACTTCCACCTGTTTTTTTTGTTTTGTTTTTTTTTAAACTGTTACAAGTAACACTTGAAATCTTCAAGAGTGATTAAGGGAAAACACTTCTCTGTTTTTGTTTACATTATGCATGTGACATTGCACTGTATAATCAGTTCCACTAGTTTCCCTGAATAATCAATCCATTTCCTCCTTTCTTTGTGTAGTTCTTTTGCCTGTCAGCACAGGACTGGGGCATTGAATTAAAGTAACTTAAATACATAACAGTGAGCTTGCAAACTTCATTTAGAATTGTAAATTCTCAGGAGCAAGTGTAGTATAAGGATCTACCTGAATTTAGGCAGTGTTTTATTAAGCAACTTGATTGGAGTTCCAGTTAATGGGGAGTCGTTAATGTTTCCGAAAGGAAAACACAACTTTAAAACCCTTAATTTGGTGCGTCAGCACATTGGCAATAAACTTCAAATGGTGTCTTGATTTGCCCTAAAGCTCCTCAGCTCCTTGAATGTTACTGATAACCCCCAATGAATTATAGCTGGGTTGACAGTCTAGAAAGGAGGGTGAAGTGTGGAAAAAGAAATTGTCATGGGAAGGTCACTGGCCTCTGGTCGGGGAGAAAATGGGGGAGGGGAAGCACTAAGTAGGGTGGGAATATTTGTCAGGTCCACTTTTCAGTAGACAGCTCCCTCTGGGAAACCAGCCTGGTGAGGCTGTATTGGTGACTTGCCTTTGTGGCTGGCTTCTGCAACTACTGATCCAACCCTAAAAATAACACCTGAGGCCAGGCAGTGAGAAGTAACTCTATCTCAGCTAGTCCCAGCTGAACTTGTTCAAACTCTGTCCAGGCAAACTGTGGTTCAGTGTGGTTATGAGTAGAAAAGCCACTAAAATGAGACCTTTTGTCCTTTTTTTCTCTTTCTTTTTGGCTCCTTGTATGTATTTGAGGTATCTGCCTGCTTGACAAAGCCAAGTTTTTGGCATCTGTTCTTCCTGCAGAACCAGTGCCATTACAGGAGATGGTGCTGGGTTCTATTCCGTCTCGCGCATCATTAACAATGTTGTCAGTTCTTTTGATTGCAGAATCTATTGCCAATGAGAATTTCAGAAGCCGGGGAAGAAATTTGACTCCTGGATCCCAGAGGGAGTCTGCAGAGCTGGCACTTAGAACAATATTCTTTTTGATTTGTAAATCGGACAGATTAGAACTGGAAGGCATGACGTTTAAATACAGAACCAAGCCATGACTGTTGTTAGACTAGCCGGCATTCTAAATGAATGACCTAGTATGTAATGTTTCTGGCTAGTGTTTTGAAATAAGCTCATGCATAAAGTGAGGCTTCTAAATCCATGCTTAAGAATCTGAATAAGTGGTTTGGCTTGAAACTCGGGTTACTTGTTTGGATGATTTACTATGGATTTGGGGCAAGACTTACAAAAGTATTAGGTGTCTGAAGAGGATAGACACCTAGTGGGGGCTTTCAGAAGTTTCCAAGCAGGCTAATTGATGGGAATTAGGCACCCAACTTGTTTGGTTACTTTTGTTTGTTTTGGTATATTGTCCCCAGGGTCACTTAATGCCTTTTTGTCTTAGTATTCAGGGTGTCATCAGAGGAATGGGCAGATGCATCTTTTAGCCACTTTAAAAAGGGATGGGGAGCTGCTCTTCTGATCTAGCTTTTCAGTCTGCATGATCCTGGACACATTTGAGCAGTTTAGTCAACTTTGATCCTCAATGAAAGAGAGTTAAAGTTGCAGCAATATGATTCTGTGGAAGCACAAGTATAGTCAAGGAGAGGGAACAGCTTCTATCCTTATCCTTTGATATTGATACAGTTGTTTTATTTGTCTGTATTGTAGGTGCTTACCTCAGGGATACGACTGACCAATGGGGTCTTAAATTGACAAGTCTGGGGAAGGAGAAATATTGACTTTATTCCCTGAGTATGAGAGTGGGGGGAACTTTCCTGTGATTGAGCTCAAGTTCAGAGGAAACACTTACTTAGTGGGAATGATCATACTGCATGGTCAGCAACATGGTGAGATGTACCTAGGGGAAACCCTTGTCTGGGGAATGGATGACACAGGGCAGTTCCTTTCAACCCTGCTTGTCTGTGCAGGTTTTATAAGCATTTATACCAGTGGTTCTCAATCTTTTTGGACTCAAGGCACCCCTCACTGGATTCAGGGCACCCTCTGTAACGTCTGTGAACTGAGTGGCACCTACTATCAAAAACTACATTAGTGCTTACCACTTTGCAGAGGGGCCAGGCTGTGGGGGTAGGGATCATTTGGGCAAGGATAAGCCTGACCCTAGCTTATCTGCTTATCTCCTCATGCCTTGTGGTACCTCAGGGTTCCCCAGCACCCTGGTTGAGAATCATTGGTTTATATTTATAGGCAGGAAAAGCCAGTGAATTTCAGATTAGGTCAAAATGGAAACTCCTGCAGAGCTAGATGTTAACTCACCCTTGTTTCATGCTCCAAATGTCTTCCTTTCCGTGCCCTCCTGGACTGCTTTCTCTTCTCAGGCCGTCGATGTAGGGAAGTGCTGAGCTTGAGGGGCATTCCATGAAGTCAGGAAAGTACTGGTGGAAGATGTGTCCTGGTCCTGCTGCCCAGTGCCTGGCTTGCAAAATTCTGCTCTCTTTTTTTTGTTTGTTTTTTCTGGGGGTTACACTGTAAATACCAGTGTAGAGGCTGGAGGGCAGTAATAGGGGCAAGAAGAGGACCTTGAGAGCACTTTTCATGCACCTACAAAGGAATTTCTCATTGCTGTCTGCAAGACTTAGCTTGCAGGGAGTAGCAAGCAGACTTTCTCCTCTAAAACTTTTATTTGCTTTTGATCTCTGCTCTCTGTTCTGTAATTTACCCCTAAGCAGTTGGAGACTGACATCTGTACCTTTTGTGATAATTGCTCCCCACTCCAGTGAAGGAAGATGAGGGTTGCTTGGGATAAGTGGTGTGCTACTGCTTTCTCCATTTATGATTGTGGAGTGAAAAGGTAGAACACTATCCAGACAGGCAAAGGGGGGAAATGAAGGCTCTTAAATATTTTATTTGGAGATGGGATGGACAAAGCAAAGCAGGCATGCTGATAAATGAGGTGAAATTGTGTGAACATAGAGCTGCTGAAAAGTTCTTATTTTGAAACAACTAACAGGAAAATTGGGGCATACAAGGTCATTGTTATTTCCTCCTCTTAGTTCTTGATACAAACCAGGTGAAGACGAGCAGCTTTTAAAGAACTTGACTGTATGCACACATCTGCCTGAATTCGCTATGTGTATTTTAGAGTCCCAAGAGGGTGGACTAACAAATTGTCTTGGTGTATCCCTGACTGCATTGATTACAAAAAAAAATAATGAGGCGGCACTTGTGGATAGTAATTGGAGTGGCTGCATAAAGATAATACAGGCTTCCAAAAAAGTGGGAGGGAAAAAGTGATCCTAGCAACTTCAAATTTAACCTTCCTCCTCTGTTCAGCATGATTGCTAGAAGTTTCTGTCTTGGCAAACACTGGTCTGTGAGGATTAAACAAAATAGGCTGTGTAGAGCACTCCACATATCCTTGACTATAAGCAAGTTACAAAGATGGTTCCTGCTCCAAAGAACTTGCAAGTTTAAAGGAGGCAGAAGATGCACTGGCAGAACTGAAAATAGCAGCAGTTGTTCTCTCAGAGTGTAACAAACTCTCACAGCTCGTGAGCATGGTAGAAGAATAGAGCTTTCAGCAAGAAGAAGCAGGGGTGGGTTCTTTTGCCAGAGATCTGAAAGGAAAGGCAGTAACTCTGAGACATGGGGTTAGGAGGTCACCTTGTGCATAGAGGGCAGCAGGGAGATAGGCGCAGAGCTGGGAGCAGGAGACGGGAACAAATGGGACGGCAAAACTCCTTCATGGGGAAGAGCGGGGAATTTCTGCTGAGGATGTCTGACAGACATGATCGTACTTTTGGTAGAATTACGGTAGCTGATGGAAAGAGCAGGGGAGTCAAGTTCCCTGGATCGTAGATAAAGCACCTGATACTAATGTGTCTTGAAACCTTAGCTGAAAAAGAAATTTGAGGTGAATTGGAGTGTGTATGCTCCCTTCTTCCAGACATGTTGTCCTTTGGGTTAAACTAAGTAATGAACAACTACAATTTAATGACTTGGAAGGAATGTAAACTTGTAGCTTCTCTGTGACTAGCCTGGCAGAGGAGGGAAAGAGCATGCTAATTCCATTCCAAGCACAGGGAGGCTTTGGGAGGGCAGAGATGCAAAATAAGTAGGAAGCAAGAAATAGATATAATCTGGAAAAATGCAAATCAATACCTTGTGCTCTAGGTGTGAAAAGCAAAAGATTTTTAGTATTATAGCACTAAGGAACCCCAGCCATAGACTCAAAACTCTACTGTACCAGGCTGAGTGCAAGCACTGACTAAAAACAGCCCATCCTCTAAGAGTCTACAAACAAAATAGGAGAGAAGAGGTAATTGATTAGATACCAACAGATGAGAGAAGCCAAGGGAGTGGTCAGCCTGGTAGGGACAGCTATTAGCCCAGCAGCAGCCCAACAAGCAGTTGTCAAGTTTCTTGTTGGCATTATGGCAGAAGAGCTGTAGGGAGACACTGAAAGGAGGCTTACAAGGTAGTTTGGCAGGCATTTATAGGCTCTCCAACCAAATGGGGGGGACAGCATGGGGGGAAAGCACAAAAGTGCTTGTTGGAAAACAGCAGGTGGGTGATGGAGGCTGGCATCATCAGTCAGTGTGAGGTGACCACTCAACAGTAAAGCAGAAGGCAGGGCCAGGTGCCACCATAGAGACTAATTGATTCAGCAAGGCATGAACTTTTAGAGGTGATGGCATCTGAATTCGGTTGTCATCTATGAAACATCGTACCTCTCAGAACCAACTGGTCTCTAAGGTGTTACCCTGCCCTGCCTCCTGCCTGACTTAGTTTCTTCCAGCCTTGCTTCTCTATGATACTA